TGCTGATTTCGACGTTTCATCATCAGATCTGCACCCTTTTGCTTACGAATCTCTACGCTAGACTCATTACGACGACGACGCATATCCTAAGACATTTTCATCAAAAAGAGTCAAAATTACGCGTAATAAATATGAATCTGAGGATGTGAGCACTCACTTCATGTCTAGCAACATTTTTGTACTGTTTAAGGCGAGCGGCTTCGTCCAAATCAGCACCGTGCATGTTCTCGCCTTGTGTTGAACGAAGTGCCATTTTTCTACAATAAGGTTTTGTGGACAGGCTAAAGCTGTAATTCAAAACTACGGCGTCAATTGTAGAGTTCAGCTTGAGGCTTTGAAGCTTTGCACCCAAATCGACCAAAAATCGAGAAAATGGAGCAGCACAGACCATCAGCGCGACAAACACTGCATATACGAAAGTCGCTATACGAAACGCCCCTAGTCACTCCTCCCTCCTCTGTAGCATGGCGCGGATTCAAAACAACCATGCACTAACCAGGAAACCCTTTAACTCGAACTTCAATAGTGATTTATTTGAATAGATGCGGCATAATGTGACTACAGATTTGACACTCATGTAGAACACCCTCCTAAGAAAGGTTATGATGTTTCTGGGCCCAAAATTAGATACGCGCGGCCGAAGTATTAGGTTGACGCGAAAGTTCTGCAACCTAATTCGTAACTTGTTTCTTTTTGGCTGTGACATATTTGTTTTTGAGCATGATGTAGAAAAGGTAGGAGGCTACAAGCATACACAAACAGTTTGATTTTTCGTGGCGAAATGGAGAAAATCTGAGCATTTTTCGAAAGCTGGTCAAATCCGTTTCAATGGTCAATAAAGCCCTTCTCAGACTGAAATTCAACACATCAAACCGAGACTGAACATCGATTGTTGATAGAGGATTCTCTAATGATCTATATAGTTTCGGATTGATGTGTTCGTTTTAGACTGAGAACGGCTTTATTTTCACTTCTACGACCTTTGAAATTTTGAATTTGACCAGCTGAAAATTGCTTGATTTTTTTCCAATTCACCACTAAAAATCAAACTGTTTGCGTATATTTGTAGCCTACTACCTATACTACATTATGCTCGATAATGAAAGTTCAATTAAAAGAAAGAAGCTACAAAATTAGCTGCAAAACTTATGTGCCAATCTATTAAAATCGTTTGAAATGACTTCCACGTGATCAAGTGGAGCATTGATGTGTGAGGATATCAGGAGAAAAACTCAATGTGCGCAAGTTCTTCTGATGTAGATACATCACTACTCCTTTTATGCGCACGAATCGTTCTGAATCAGTTTTCGTCTCAAGAAACCCCGCAACTCCTCATGGGAAGGTCCAAAGTTCACGAAGATATGATCGTGACAGAACATCATGCCGGATATGTCTTCGATTAAAAGAGTTTTAATGGTAAGTCCATATTTTTGAAAATAATATGAGGCGCGAAATTTGTTAATATTTGCCTTATATGTGATATTTTGGTACTGAATAAAGTTTCACCCCATTAGCAGCAACGCCGGGTTAATGAAGATTTCTATAAAGGCCAGCTATAAGGAAAACTTGCGCTTATCCAATCTCTGAGTAGATCGCAATCAAGGTTCAAATACCCTCTCACAACTGTTAGAACAAAGTCTTCCAAAAAACCGCAAACCCTCCTTTTTCCTCAAAACCACAAGCTGTCAATAAAACTGGCAATAAAAACACGAAGGAGCCCATGTATTTCCAGATTGTGGACGCTTCCGAAAAATCCCTCCCATTTTAGCTACAGTCGAGTCATTTCATATGATCATGTGTGTCAC